CCATTGTTACTCTGATGCGTCTCCCCACACTGCTGCTGGGGGGATTTTTTAACATAGGCCTCTGTAGGGCCCTTTCAATTTAAGCTGCTTGCCAGACTCTGCCATGTGCCACTTTCAGGTCTCCTTACACTGTTGGTGGGTTCCATTTTGTGATAGGGTGCTGTATGGCCTTCCATTGCTGCTGCCTTCCACCGCCACCCTGCGCCATGTGCCCTCTGTCGTCTGCTCACGCTGCTGACGGCTTCCGCTTTTTAACCTAGGCCTGTGTATGGCTTCAGAATAATGCTGCCTACACCGCCACCCTGCGCCATGTGCCTCTGTCGTCTGCTCACGCAGCTGACGGCTTCCGCTTTTTAACCTAGGCCTGTGTATGGCTTCGGAATAATGCTGCCTACACCGCCACCCTGCGCCATGTGCCTCTGTCGTCTGCTAACGCTGCTGCCTGGTCCATACTGATTCATGGCCCCCTGTACCGGCTCCCTCATGAACGTGGTTCAGCGGGTTTGCATCACTTAACGGCAAATCGTTGACAAACGCTGGGACGTTCAGTGTTGTGCTCATTAAGCCAGACACCAAAGGGCAGCACAGACCTGTTATTACTCGCTCAAGCATGGCTGAACAAAACCAGTCTCTACCACAAATTGGACCCAGACCTGCCCAGGGTCTCGTAAGTAGATTGCACGGAGGAGTAGAGTTCGTTATTGGAATTAACTGTGAGGGACTTTTAAACCTAGGCCTGTGTATGGCCTTCAATTGAAGCTGCTTCTGCTCCGCCACTCTGCCATTGGACTCTTGATAGTCGTCTCCCCACGCTGATGCTGGGGGGACTTTTTAACATTGGCCTCTGTATGGCCTTCAATTTTAGCTGCTTACGCTCCGCCACTCTGCCATGGGCCCCTGTACCGCCTCCGCCTCATGCATGCTGCTGCCAGGCCCGTAATCTGCCATGGGCCCCCGTACCGACTCCTCATGCTGCTGCCAGGCCCGTAATCTGTCATGGGCCCCTGTACCGCCTCCTCATGCTGCTGCCAGGTCCAGAGTATGTCATGGGTCCCTGTACGGCCTCCCATTGCTGCTGTCTCCATCGCCACACTCTGCCATGTGCCACTTTCAGGTCTCCTCACACTGCTGGTGGGTTCCATTTTGTCATAGGGTGCTGTATGGCCTCCCATTGCTGCTGCCTCCACCGCCACACTGTGGCTCCACACTCTGGTTTTGGCCCCGTGACTGCCCAAATGAGTGAAGTGTGCGGTGATTCTAAGATCGACGGCACTCATCTGCATGTCATACTGACTGACAGTATTATTTCTCTTCCCCAGCAGACTCCAAGGGCATTTAAATTAAAGGTACAGTGTTCTGCACTAATATAAAGGCTCTCTGAAGCCTAGAAACACCCTTTTTATAAGTTAAATTCGCAGCGAATATATTCGGCTCGAAGCGAATTTATTCGGCGAATTCGGCGAATCAGCCGAACCGAATTTTTGAATAATTCGCTCATCTCTACTGACGATATCTTACTCTTCCTGACAGATCTGCATATTACATTACCTAACCTACTACACGACTTCAAATTGTTTCAGTATTTGGCCAGTTTTAAAATAAACTTTAATAAATCCCAAGCCCTCAATATTTCCATAACCCAAGATACGATCAGACAGGCGAAAACAAATTTTCCTTTCACATGGCAGTCCGAGGCCATCACTTATTTAGGAATTCAATTACCGACCCATCTTTCAGAACTCTATGCCAAAAACTTTCTACCCATCCTATGCAGCCTTACCAAAGATCTACAGACATGGGATAAACTGTTTTTCTCTTGGTTTGGCAGAGAGCAGCTATCCTCAAGATGACCGTGCTTCCTAGACTTCTGTACCTACTGCAAACGATTCCAATCAAACTGCCTAATTCTTTCTTTAAGTCTTCTAAAACATTATGTACCTCGTTTCTATGGTGTAATAAACGACCCAGAATAGGTTTTGACCAACTTACCATGCCTAAGACGAGCGGAGGTATTGGGCTACCTGATATCACCCGCTACTACAGAGCCTGTCACATGGCAAGAATAGTAGATTGGTCTACGAACCGCAACCGTAAGGCTTGGGTTAATTTGAAAGCTGCTTTTTCGGGGACCTCGCTCGCCACTTCCCCTTGGCTGAAAAAATTCCCACATTCCGTCCGAGTTCAAGGAACACCTTCTTATAGGCCCTACTCTATTCTGTTATCATCAGATAAGTCAGAAAACAGGTTTCTCTTCCACCCCTGGCCCACTCACTCCTATCAAAATTAATCTAGACTTCCCTCTGGGTATGTCACATGCCTTTCTTGCAGGTTCTAGCCCCACAGACAGTTTGAGTTTGCATCAACTTTTCAAAGACGGGATGTTCTTATCCAGAGACCTCATTATGAATAAAATGGCCATCCGTGACCTTGAGGCCATGGATATATAGACAACTTCACCACACTTATACATAGCTCCTCTCATCTAAAAGAATATACTAGACAACTTACCCCATTTGAAAAACTTTGCTCAACAGACTCTCTCCATGTTTTATCCAGACATGTTTTATCCAAGCTTTACACGTTCCTCAAAAACACTATTGACCTTCCATTTAGGAAAGCTTGCAAGGCCTGGAGCTCTGACTTACAACTACAACTAGCACCAGAAGATTGGGATCACATTTAAGCACATATTCACAAAGGGCGCATATGTGTTTTCACACAAGAAAACAACTTTAAACTATACTCTAGATCAGCATTGGGCAAACTACGGCCCGGCGGACCTTTTAATCCGGCCCGCGGAGCTAGGCTCCCGCTAGGCTCCTCTCACAGTCCGCCCTGTTTCCTATGAGGATCTGTCCCCCCTCGACGTATCTGCGCATGTGCCGGAGATCGCCGATCGGCTGCTAATGCCTGAAACTGGCACATGCGCAGATACATCGAGGGGGACAGATAGGAGACAGATTTTCATGCTACACCGAACGGCGCGGGAAACAAGAGGAACGCGCGGAGCAAAGGTAAGTGAATTGACACAGGGGGGACTTGGGGACTTAATATGGGGGATGAATTAATATGGGGAATGAATTACTATAGGGGGGATGAATTACTATATGGGGGATGAATTACTATATGGGGGATGAATTACTATGGGGGATGAATTACTATATGGGGGATGAATTACTATATGGGGGATGAATTACTATGGGGGATGAATTACTATATGGGGGATGAATTACTATGGGGGATGAATTACTATATGGGGGATGAATTACTATATGGGGGATGATTTACTATATGGGGGATGAATTACTATATGGGGGATGAATTACTATGGGGGATGAATTACTATATGGGGGATGAATTACTATGGGGGATTAATTACTATATGGGGGATGAATTACTATGGGGGATGAATTACTATGGGGGATGAATTACTATGGGGGATTAATTACTATATGGGGGGATGAATTACTATGGGGGATGAATTACTATATGGGGGATGAATTACTATATGGGGGATGAATTAATATGGGGGATTAATTACTATATGGGGGATGAATTACTATGGGGGATGAATTACTATATGGGGGATGAATTAATATGGGGGATGAATTACTATATGGGGAATGAATTACTATGGGGGATGAATTACTATATGGGGGATGAATTACTATATGGGGGACGAATTACTATATGGGGGATGAATTACTATGGGGGATGAATTACTATATGGGGGATGAATTACTATGGAGGATGAATTACTATATGGGGGATTAATTACTATGCTTACTATGGGGGAATATTACTATACTTACTATGGATGACACATACACATCATTCATCTACTCTTGGTCCGGCCCCCGGGTCCAATATATGAACCCATTGCGGCCCTCAAGTCAAAAAGTATGCCCACCCCTGCTCTAGATGGTACAGAGTTCAATCCCTGCTTCACCAATTTGACCCCAACATCTCAGATGCGTGTTGGAGATGTCACCAGGCAATGGGTACACTCTTAATAAGAAAAATTAATAATAGCGCCTATGGTCAAAATTATATAACTTACTAATAGTGTACCAGCTGCAAAAAATCACCATATATAAAGTGTACCAATAAATAAATAATTTGCGCTAGTAAATGTGTATAAATATATATAAATATATATAAAGAAATCATAAGTCCAGAAAAAAATATATATATGCCAATACCACAAAAAAAATATATAAAAAATAAAAAAAATAAAAAAACTTTTAAGTGCAAAAAACTTTTGTGCAAAAAAAGTGTCTAAATATGAAAAATTTCACCAAAAAACCTTGATAATATAATGGCAGATCATCCATAAATATATCTTCAGAAACGGAAACTCTGCAACACACCGATCCTCATCGATCGAAATAACAGGATGAAAAACTTTGTAGTTAATCGAAAATCCACTTCTCCAATAGATAAAGGACCACCTTCAAACGTATCCATGGGGGGAAATGCCAAGCACTCGAGAGAAACAGAAAGACTTCATGGTGCAATATTATAAAAACCAATTCCTTTATTAGGTACTCATTGCACTTACTCAAGAGGTGTCCCAGCCGACACCAGCATCAACAGCATAACAGCAATCACATAAACGAGCCTGGCTACTCAGCACATGCGCAGTAGCTGGCAGCCAAAAACGTAATGACGTCACATCAATCAAGCTCCGCCCTACGCGTTTCGTCATCGACGTCCTCACGGAGCGGATAGATGTGAGACGTCTCAACCTCCTTAAATATTCACTCACAGGAAACGAACAGCTGACATCAATGGGGAATCAAGCAAAGCAAGCCGCCCCACAGATGACAGGAGTCCACAAAGGATATACAATGTATCCAATATATTTGCCATCACAAGCAAAAAAACTTTAAAACAAGAGAACAAAAAAAAATAAAAAGAAATTGAATAAAACACTAATGATAAATAAATTAAATAAATAAATAAATAAATACATTAACGGGCCAGCACCCTCTAAGACTGTGTTTCAAAAAGGGAACTTAAAGGGCCAGTAACACTTTAAACACAAATAAAGGGGAACTCTAGTAATAATACAAAAATAATGCAAAAATTGTACAAAAAGCATACAATCTCCCATATATCATCTTTAAACAGTTGCCTATATAAAAATATACTTAAAATAACATAAAAATTAAAAATTTAAAATTTGTGAGAAAACAATTCAAATCTATATCGACATTTAACCCAAATGGTTGCAAGGAATTTAGTTCATAAATCCAAAACGTCTCTTTTTTGGAAATCTCATTAACCAAATCCGAGCCCCTCCAATGGGGTTTTACCATCTCGATCCCATAAAAGGTAAGTAAGATCGGATCACAATTATGTACCAATTTGAAATGTTTGGATACACTATGTTTATCAAATCCTTTTACTATGTTTCTTATATGTTCGCCTATTCTTGTTTTTAAACATCTCCCAGTTCTCCCAATATATCTCAAATGACATGGACATTCTAAAACATAAATCACATGTGTAGAATTGCATGTAATCAGGGATTTAAATATCATATTCTTTTTTGGAAAATGAGGAGCAGAATGACTTTCTTTTTTTATTATTACCAACTTTTACAGTCCTACAAACTTTACACTTCCTACAAGGAAAAAAAAAACATTTAAATTTGGAAACAGATCGAATGGGTACACTCTTGCATATCTGGTGGGACTGCCCATTGCTGCAGCCTTTCTTGGGGAAAGTCCAATCTACAATCGCACAAGTAACTATGTATACCCTAGACCTCTCCCCCGCACAATTCTTGCTTCACCACTCCACACTTCCATTTAGGACGTACTGTAAATCACTTGCCATGCATATGGTAAACGCCGCAAAACAATGTATCCCAGTCCACTGGCGCTCAACCCATGTTCCCACTATCCGAGAATGGTTTGCTAGGATCAACAAAATTGAGGAAATGGAGGAACTGATTTCTGTAGCTAAGGAACATCTCAAGAGATTCAGGAAGACATGGGCATGTTGGAGTCATTTCAAAACCACTTCTAGTTATCACCTACTAGTACATGAACAACCTATACCCCCTGACTGAATGATTGGACACAATGCTGTACTGGGGAGCGCCCTATTCACTGGAGACGCACTTGATGCACATTTGAATAGGCTGTGGCTCTGCATCGTGACCTGTCTTCC